CCCCGCGCAAAACCAGTTGTAGGCGATTAGGGCTCATAAAATTCACCATCATGTAGTTGGGCAAGATAATTATTTTATTTTATTTTTATCTATACCCTGAAACTTTCAAGCGAAGACTCCATAATCAGAAGATATTAAACAGAAGAACAAGAACAAACCCTGGCAGCCATGGTTTGTTTTATTTTGACTAAGATATTATACATATCATACCAGCCTAAAGGCCAAGACATCCATTACCAAAGACATGACACGACACCCTACATAAACCACATACTTCCAACTTCTGTGAAACGACCGTGTGCCATATTTTACGTACTTTTTTTTTGGCTACTTCCATGTCCGTTCCACCTTATTGCAAATCACACCACTTTCACAACAGTAGTATTATTCACCATAGGGCTTATAATCATCAGAATTACGGACGACGGTCACCGTCTTTCGTACCGGGTTTGTGTTCATCGGTGAAATATCGGTGAGAGGTTGACCCTGAATTTTGTTCATAGTTATTGTAATTCTCATTCACATCATCAGCCTTGTTATCAGCTGCCTCTTGGTCAGTTCCTTCAGCTGCTTTGTTTCCAGCAAGACCTTTTTGATTGGCATCAGGCTTAACCTGCGCATCATTATTTACACCACTTAGTAGCATACGATCCTCCAAAGGGAGCCTTGTTGCATTGGTTTGCAGGGTTCCCAGGATCAACACAACTGCAACAAATAGAACAAGAAAGGTCTTCATGATCGCACTGCTCCTCTCAATCCCTGAAAAAAACAGAGTTAAACAAAGGGAGTAATCAAAACTATCTATTAAGCTCACCTCTCTCTCTCTCTCTCACACACACACACTAGTGCTAGGGCTTCAGCGTGTACCGCTCTTCTTGCTAGTTGCTTCATAACTTGAAGAAAAATGATCTCCAGGGGTTGCATTATATAATTGATATTAGTTTGAGTGTTTGGATTAATTAGTGTGATGTGAAAATAAGACTGCGAGCACTATGAGGGAAAGGGTGAAAATGGAGGTTTCATAATCGCAAAGCACCACTGGGTGGAGATCGAGGTTGTAGTCGTTAAAGTGGTAATTATAATTATGAACAATGTAGAAGGATGAAATACCCTGAAAAATGGAATCACCTTCCAAAATGTTATTGGGATCTAATTTATTATAATCTTTGAATTAATTATGGATCCCATTAAATATTAAGACTTATTATTGATCCAACTATTACAATTCAATCACATTATTAGCTCAACAAATTAGGTCGTGGGTTCGACTCCCACTGTGGTCAATAACTTGTTAAAAAAATAGATCAATAAATTATGTTAAATGTTTAGGTTTAAATAACATTATTTTTATGATTAAAGCAATGCTATTCGGGGACTTAATCAATGATCTAATTTAATATAACAATTGACTTAATTGTGAGTCCAAAGTTAGATGGAATCCACTTTTAATTCAATAATTACATTGAATTAGGTTACAAATTAAGTTTAAATAACAATTTTTTTATGATTATGATAAATAATTAAGGAACTTTCAATCACTTAATTGGAATGTGTCTCCATGTTAGGGTTCAACAATGAATGCTTCTGTAGTATGGTGAATTATTTCATATATGAAATTATTTCACTTCCATGATACTAGATGAGTTGACCATATATGTTTCTAACAGACACTGTCAATGCCATAATGTCATTGAGTTATATGAACAAGCCAATGCTCATGGGTTAGGTAATGCTAGATTAATCAAAAAATAAAGTTAAAAAAAATGTGATAGTATTATGGTGAGTGAATTTATATTTAAATTGACTAGTAATGCACACTTGCGTTGCGTGTAAAAAAATTTAGATTATATTTTTTAGAAATACGAAGTATATGAAGTTGACAAAGTAAAGATTGCTGATTTATGCATTCATTGACTTCTTGAATCCAATAAGAATTTCTAGCATTACAACATAAGACTAAGAAAACTCCTAAATATAATTTACTAATCTAAAACTATTCCACCACCACATAATTCAAGAATCTAGTAACAAAACTAATTCTACTCATAATATAATAACTCCTAAAACACTACAAATCTACTGGTAATTATTAAATATTAGGAGATTAATTTAATAGATTAAGCTCTTCATTCCATGAAAAGTACCTTTGTTTGGGCGTTCATTATCACTTCATTGGACACAAATTAATTTTATTTCAAATTACAAAAATTGTTGTAAGGTAAATAGAGCATTTATGCAATAACCATACCCAAATAAATGGAAAACAAAGTAAAGAAAATATCATACCAATAATAAGCATGCTCTGACAGAGAAAAAAAAAGCTTACAGGTTGATAACATCAAGCATCATCGACCTTGCAGAGATATAAGACCAAAAATGTTAATGAATTTACTGGAGACATATAGGTCTATCTTCCTATATCTACCTATATATATTTCTAATAAAGTTGTTCAAAATATTTTGGGTGTCTAATAAGTATGAAAGGAAGAAAAATATATGGGTTTTAGCTTTTTACTCTTCTAATGAATTTTCGATGGTTGTATTTATGACCTAAAAAATAGAAATTTTTTTTTCACATCATATTAGAATTCTAGTTGAATTTGTCGAATTTAATAGAAAAGAAGAATGTACTAGCAAGTCATAATGATAAAGTTTATCTAGTAAAAATTTTGAAAGTTATAGAGATAAATTTTATTTAACTAATATATAGTGATAAAATTTATCTTGCAAAACTTTTGGAATATTAGTGATTAAGTTTATCCAGCAAAAAATTTGGAAGTCATAGAGATAATATTTATTTAGCTAATATTTTGTGAGCATAATTGCTTTTAGTGTAATAATTAGGGGTGAAATAGGAAAAATAAAGTTGTTCAAAATATTTTAGAAGTCTAATAGGTATGAAAGAAAGAAAAATATATGAGTTTAATTTTTTACTCTTCTAATATTTTATTATATAATAATGAATAATGAATTTCAATGGTTGTGTTTATATCTTAAAAAATAGCAATTTTTTTTGCACATCATATTAGAATTATAATTGAATTTATCGAATTAAATGAAAAAAAAAAAAGAATATATTGGCAAGTCATAGTGGAGATAAATTTTATCTAACTAATATATAGTGATAAAATTTATTTTACAAAAATTTTGGAATATTAGTGATAAAGTTTATTCACCAAAAAATTTGTAAGTCATAGAGATAATGTCTATCTAGCTAATTTTATCTAACTAATATATAGTGACAAAATTTATCTTGCAAAAAATTTGGAATATCTTGCAAAAATTTTGAATATTAATGATAAAGTTTATCCAGTAAAAAATTTGGAAGTCATAGAGATAAAGTTTATCTAACTAATATTTTGTGGGCATAATTGTTTTTAGTGTAATAATTAGGAGTGAAATAGAAAATCAAAAATTTTTCACAGATATAAACATAGATAAACAGGGACCAAAGTACCATTATGTTTGTGTCACGGTAACTACCCCTTTTATTACTCAATGTTGCGTTACTCTAATTTATTAACTCTCTTTATTAGTCAAATATTGCAATATATTTCACTTCATAATGAATTTATATTTTTTCTTCAACCCTGCATTCTGCAAAGTCATGGCTGCAACATGAATTTCTTATACAGAAATCACCCGCTAACCGCATACATTGGTGTGCACTCATGCAACTCAAAAGCAGAAGGTACGGTTTACACCTTGCTCTATATACAGTTTTTTCTTGTACAACTTAAATTTTGTATACTAAAGAATGTATATACAGCATGGACACGAAATTACATAGAATTCAAATGACGACAGCAAGGCATCCTCATTGTTTCTAGTCAGACACACTCTATGGATGCAATTAGTTGAGTTTTGTCTTGGGAGTCTAGTGAGATGATCTGCAACCACGAATCGTGGTGGATCGGATATCTCTTAGCAGGATTAATCAACAATTGTAAGCTTGTGAGTCCTTCGGACTAGTCCTCCATCATTGTGCGAAGACGACAATGGCTCTATGTTGTCGGGATGACAATTACTGCTTAGACATACCGATGGAGAATGCATGGATCATCTCATCATCGTTAGCACAATAACTTCGCTCTGTGTGATTATTAGGTCATGAATTCCCATTCACTGATTCACCTCATGTTAGGGTGAACTAGCTTCTTGTTAGGGTGATACTTTTTTTTTTTGGGGGGATGCCTACCAAAAATCACACAACAATAGAATGGCCCCTGATCGAGTAATAGATTGATTGATGCCCGAAGAGGCACGGCCAAAGGAATGAGACACAAGGTGAACATTTGTAAGCCCCATTTTCGTGACTAGCCTTGAAAAGTTTAAAGGTGAAAAGTGTAAGATGTTTTGACAGAAAAACTACGGCGTAAATATTTCAAATAGCTATATAGAGTATTTGGTACACAGTCCAACCGGACTACAAGCCAATACATGGATAACATACACACTAAAACACACCACACATACTGATACTTCAACTTTGTGTAACTCACATAATGGCCTCACATTCTTTTTTGGCTACCCATATGTTGGCTACACATTATTCAAAACACACCATTTTTACAGAAGTTGCATTCTTCATCCAGCTTACTAATGACCAGATTGGTTATCTTTAACCTTTTGGCTGCATTCAGATCGGGTTTCGCATGTAAAATAATGGTGGGTCGACCCACCTTTTGATGGGCCAGAATCATTTCCATAGTAACCATAATTTTCATTTTTATCGGCATCACTGTTATCTGTCACGGTGCCAGTTTCATTTTCAGTATTTCCAGCTCCTTTGTTATCTGTCACGCCTTTGTTATCAGCACCAACTTCAACCTTTCGACCAAGATTGGTATCGCTGAGTAGCCGAGGGTTCTTCAAAGGTGGCCTTTTCGCGTTGGCTTCCAGAGTTCCCAAGATCAAAACAAAGGCGACAAAGAGCACAACCAACGACTTCATGATGTAAGTAATCGTCTTTAACCTGAAAAGAAAGCATTGATTCATACAATCTGAGTTAATTTTCTCCCTATAAACATGTAATCAAGCTAATAGAGATAGAACAAAGTTTAGGGTTGTGGCGCGTATACCACTCTTCTTTCTTCGAGAACATTAATGAGAGAAAGGGTTCTAAGTGGAGCAGCATATAGAAGATAATTGTCACTGTGTTGGGATAATATTAAGTGATGTTAGCACTAAAGAAAGACGGGTGCTGTTGGAGAATTAGCACCATTGGGAGGGGGTGTAGGTGTAGCCACCAAAGAAGTAATTATGATTTGAATTGATAATTAAGGAGTTTTTTACATTGACCGTCAATTATTTGATAATTTATGATAGGTTATGCTTCCTCGTTAGGGTTCAACGGTGGTGGATGATAATTTTACACATAAAATTATGGCCACAAACAGTGCCCTTTCACTATGCCAAATTTACTGAATTGTAGAACCGGAAAATTAAGGGCGGATTTTGGTATAACAGTAAAGTTGTTTTATTGTAATTTGGAGGTCACGTGTTTGAGTCGCAGAAATAGCCCATTTGTTTATAGGGTTAAGGCTGTCCACCTAGATACTGACGGGAGTCTCGTATAATGGGTACACCTTTTTATAGAATCAAAAAATTATTTTAGCTTAATTATTCGGGTGGCCGCAACTTAAAATTCCGACTAAATTTTTTTATTGGATTTGACTTTTTAAATCATCATGTTGATGGTGCATTATAATCAACTAGATTCAATTAAACCAGCATGGGACATGTTAATAGTTTTAAGCACCGGTTATCAAGCACTTGAAATAAAATAGTAATATTTAATATTTATACAATAAAATAGAACGAAATTTGAATCTAAAAGACAAAAAGAGGTCCAGATCGTTTTGAGATAAAATATAAATACATCAAACGGACAACGTAATTCTAACATAAAAGACGGTTCAAATTATCTCAAAAATTTTGATCTAACGATCTACGATCAGTACTGAATTTTATTTTCCCGCTCAACAATATTTCCTGACTCACGTTTCTCTCTCCTCCATCCCTATCAAACGCAATCCCTAACTCCGCCCCTTTCTCTCTCTCTTCAAATCCGGTGTTCTTTGATTTCTTTCCTTTTCAAAATGTAATCTCTTATGTAATCTTTGATCTTCTTTCTTTATCTTTGATCTTTGTTACGTATTTCAAGCCCTAATGTCTTCCCCAATTCTCTTTTCTCTCTCTCTCTCCAAATTACACAAAGTCATTGCTCTCTCGCACTCTCTTTTTCCCCTCCTCTCTCTCTCACACACACCCCCACATAGCACTGCTTTGGATTTTCTTTTGGACGGTGAATGCTTGAATCGATAATCTATTCTTGGTTGCGTGGAGTTATAACATTAGTTTGGAATTTTTGGATTTTATTTAATTTAATTTCATGCTATTTTGATTGAGTTTTGAATTGTAAAAATTGTGGTTTTTCTCGGTAGGCTCCGTATGAAACACAACATATACTGCAAATCTGAATCTCAAACTATTCCAGCCGTTGAAACATGATGAGGTTAGTGATTTTGTTAATTCCTTTTCTTTTCCCTATCTCTCTTATTTATTTCTTAACAGGGTAATAATATTTTATTTCACAAAGAATTTGTGAATTATATTTGTAAGGGGTAGAACCCTCCACTCAGGATTTCGGCTTGACCTGGGTTAACCCACGCGGGCGACCCCCCAGTAGCCTTTACCTCTCTTCGCCAATAGAACCCTTTCCTAAGGCAATCCCACATCGGAAGAGAGTCGTCTTCCCCCCTCGCATATAAGCCCTTGCACTCAAAGGAGGAGGTACCCACTAGCGACCTGATCAGGTGCCTAGTGGGTACCTCCTCCTTTGAGTGCAAGGGCTTATATGCGAGGGGGGAAGACGACTCTCTTCCGATGTGGGATTGCCTTAGGAAAGGGTCCTATTGGCGAAGAGAGGTAAAGGCTACTGGGGGGTCGCCCGCGTGGGTTAACCCAGGTCAAGCCGAAATCCTGAGTGGAGGGTTCTACCCCTTACAAAAAGGCGCCTTTTTGTAAGGGGTAGAACCCTCCACTCAGGATTTCGGCTTGACCTGGGTTAACCCACGCGGGCGACCCCCCAGTAGCCTTTACCTCTCTTCGCCAATAGGACCCTTTCCTAAGGCAATCCCACATCGGAAGAGAGTCGTCTTCCCCCCTCGCATATAAGCCCTTGCACTCAAAGGAGGAGGTACCCACTAGCGACCTGATCATTGATGGGACTCTTCTGAAAAGCCTAAGATGATGGCACGTGTCCTCGGGATATTTTGGAACAGTGTTGCCCGGATGTAAGCACCATCGGCGAAGAGCGCCCTTTACCCCGAGGTACCTCTCATGTAGGATCACACATTCGGTATATTATACAAACAAACACGTGTCCTCGGTCAGACGTGTACCTCGGGGACACACCACCCCTTGGTCCCGAGGTGAGCCTTTCCTCGGCGCCGAGGGTCACTCCATCCTGGACGCTTCCTCTACTCCCGGATAAAGCTACTGACATACTGGACATCAGCCTATGCCAGTATGGGTTATTCATCATGACCTCTTCTTACACAAGTAATGTCAGAACGTGCTGGAATACCGACGTAACAGCCAATAAGGGATGGACGCGTGGCAAATAATGTCACATCCGAAGCAGACAAACCGCATGCCGTTGCTGACACGCGACTTGGGAAAGCAAACAATTAATTGCACCCTTCTGTTGACGAGACCGCATTCAATGCGGTAAGGTTCGGATATGAAAGGCAATAAATGCTCCTATTACAGAGCATTTATTGCATCCTTCCCGACAGGAGCATATTGTACCGTCGGCGTCCCGACAGACTCAGCATTGATTGTTCGGGACCCCGAGCAATCAATTAGAGAAGACATTCCTCATCAAATGATTACACACGCTACCTGTGCCTGATGATTACCTACTGACCACACTGACAGCAATCATGATCTTCTAAGGTATAAATACCCCTCCCAAAAGACAAAGCGGGTATGCAAAATAAAAAACTCTCAACTACAAAATATCCTTCTCAGTGTTTTCTCCTTCCTCTCTCTCATTCAAAGACTGACTAGACCGTCGGAGGGGATACGCCGGAAAACACTCCGGCGCCCTTCTAACTTGTTCTCCTTTGTTCCAGGAAATACCTTCCACACGTACAGGATCGTTCCTCCTTTCCCAGGATCACCCTTTGCCGTTTCCGGTTGCCACCGTACCTTGTAGGCTGTTTCAAGCAGCGTGTTTGGCTACTCAACCGGCTCACCCAAGGTTCACCAGGGGAGAGATCTGTTCCCAATATTTTATATATCGTGCAGGATCGAGCCCGCACAATATTGATCGCTAAAGTATCAGAGTTATCTAATCAACTTAGGATTTAGGATTTCTGCTCTATTTGTTTAGGAAGATATATAGCTAATTCTGCAGTGTGCATTGCTGAATGAGACTCACTTTGGTTTGCTTTCTTTAATATGACATTGATTGGCATTGGGCGAAATAGAGGTATTCTTTGCATTTCGCTGTCTTCTTCAATACAATGGTTTAACATTTCTCATGTAGTTATTTGAAGATCGATTCCACGCCACTCAACGAATTTCTCACATGTACTTTTTTTACTAATGCACTTGATTCGTTGATTCATTGACGCACTTGATTGCAATTTTCTCACATGTACACACACAACTATTCGTTGATTCACTGATGCACTTGATTCGTCATTTTGCATTATTATAAACTCTCAGATTAGGCAAAGAATTCATTCTCAATCTAACTATTGTTGCATTGATTTTTTTTAATGGGTAAAAATTAGGAACGAGAATTATTTTAATTTCTCTGCAACTGACTGTTGATTGTAATGTTACTACCGTAACTAAATTCATAGGTTATCCTTTTTTTGCGGTAAGTATTGTAGATTATCCTTTTCATGTCCGAGTATTGTTTTTTTTCTGGGTTTGCTTGGGTAAGATTCTCCATTGTGGGTTTTCACTGTTATTGTTGGTGTGTTTTGATGCATTACTTTACAGTGTTTTGTACAATGGCTTAAGCAAATCCAGTCTTTAGGGTTCACTTGGCTAGAAATTAAGCAACTAAATTGCTCAGTCGTAATTTATTGTGCTTTTGTACTTTTTAGTGGGTTTTTGTCTTTAGTATCACTAAATGTAGTGTTTATTTTAAAAAGTTGCTCCACTAGGTAAAAGGTCCATTTTCTCATTGCCAAGTTGTTGATTGTGTTGCCAATAGTTCTGGAACTACTATTTCCTGCACACTAGCATTTTTTGTGGATATTTCTTGCACACCAGCATTGTTGTTGTGGGCTTTCTTTCATAGTGGGACTCATCAAGTGTTCTGGCTTGAATGAAGGATTGTCATCAATTTGGGTAATTTTCTGTTGCCAATTTCAATCTACTGATAGTTCCTTTATTTTGATCCAGTTATCAAAACAGCAAATTCCATGTATCAGAGCCTAAGTGACCAACGTCTGATCCTAATGGCCTCCTCAGTTCCCACTTCCTCTGCTCTCGTTCTATCACCACCCACCTCTCTTACTCCTTACCCCTTTATCACCATCAAACTAAGCCGTGACAATTACCTGTTCTGGCATGCCCAAATTGTTCCTTACCTCAAAGGCACTCATTTATTCGGCTATGTTGATGGTTCACTTTCGGCACCACCTACTCATGTTTCCGACCTCGAAAGTGACCACCAAACTCATACCACTTCAATTCCTGCCTTCCACTCTTGGCACCTTCAAGATGAGTGCCCTTACCTCCTCCCTCGTGGAAAAAATTCTATCTCATGTCGTTAAATATACCACCTTGCGTGAAATGTGGCTTGCATTAGAACGCATGTTTTCCTTCACCTCTTATGCCCGGATCACCCATATACACTTCCAGTTAGCGACTCTCAAAAAAGCCAACCTCTCCATTGCTAATTACTTCCGGCAATTCACCAACCTCACAGATACCCTCTCTGTCATTGATCAACTCTTAAATAATTATGAGCTTGTTTCTTTTCTTCTTGCAGGCCTTGGACCAGAATATGACGCATTTGTCACATCTGTTACCACTAGAGTTGATCCTCTATCAATTGAAGACCTTTACGGTCATCTCCTTGCTCATGAAAAGTGATTGGAGCAGCATCAAGCCGCAGTTGATCTAACTGTCGCCAATGCTAATTTCACATCCCGCAACACCACAAATCATGGTGGCCATGGAAATCGTTGCGGTTATTCAAGCCAAAATGGACAAGGAAATTATTAGAACTCACCATCTTGGAACAATCAAGGCAGGGGGTGTGGTCGAAGTTCTTCATCCTCCTCCAATAACTCCCGTCCCGTTTGCCAAATTTGCAACAAAACGTGTCATATGACGTTGGATTGTCGTCATATGTATGATGATTCTTCCTTGCGGGACTCCACTCAAGGCCAAGCATATTTTCAGCTCCCCAAAATTCAATTGATGCAAACTGGTACTCGGACTCAGGTCTTACACACCACCTCACTTCCGAACTTGCCAATCTGAATGTAGAAAACAACGTAGAAAAGAGTGAAATTTGTATGAAAATAAAAAATTCAGAAATTCAAAGCGATTAAATTAGATTGGATTTGTACCGAATATGAAATGAATTCTGCATATTCCTGTCCTAAAACTCCTCTAGACTAGACTTTTGGATCTTTTAGCCAATTCACTACGGAGAAGTATGGAGTATGCTCAATTTTTTTTTTTTTGAGCGAGAGGGCATTGTTTTTAGGGAGCAAAATTGTGATTTTTATATTAGGCAGAAGTGGTTGACCCGCTTATTAAAAAATAATTTATAGCTATAGATTTCTGGTTAATTCATTTGTAGTCGTTGATTACAAAAAATAATAACGTAGAGTAAAATAATAAAATAATTTTTTTATAGTTAATTCATTGAAAAAAAAAGGAATTATAATACTAAAAAATAATTGTGAAAATTGAGATTGAGTCTTCCTGGATGGACGTATATTGATTTGAGTCCGTTAAGCAAACTTATTTGGTGATAAGTCTGTTTTTTATCTTACTAATAAGTACTTAAATCCACTATTTTTTTAAAGTCATTTCTTGCATTTTTTTCAAAACAATTTGTTCTTTAGTTCTTGTAATTGTTTCTTTTATCAATAAAAATTTTCTATTCTTTTTTTTTTAAAAAAAAGTCCACTATTTTTTTTTAATTTCAAAAATACTCTTAAACAGTGTTATTCTGTTCAATTATAGAAACCTTAAATTCGTTGAAAATAGTTTTAAATTAATTTATTAAATTAGAAATTAGTATCCCTTAATTCACTTATAAATTGAAATTAAAATTTATATTCTATCTCTCTCTTAATAGAAGAAGATCATCACTCCAATACGATAAATTTTTCTCCTTAGATATCATTAATTTCTTCCTTCATAGCATCAAAATCAGTAATATTTGAAACATCATCAACAACTACCATATCTTCTACTGCGTTCTGGTCATTATGAAGTTTTATATCATTGGTTTGTGAAAAAAAAAAGGTTGAAATACTTGCTCAATGTGTTATTAGTTTGATCTCCAATTTTTTTTTTATTTTTTTGATAAATGATCCCCAAATTTTTCAATGTTTCATGTTATTATGTTTTTTGTTGATCGTGTTAGTATTTTTATAAGTGAACATGTTATTATTTTCTTTTCATGTTACTATTTTTTATTGAGCATGTTATTACTTATTCGGTGTTACTTTTTTGGATGCTGAAGAATTGGAGGTTTCTTCATCTGGTTATGGGTTTGAATACTACTATTTTTATTTTTAATTTTGTTCAATGTTCCGTATTGCTATTTTTTTTTGTTGAGCATGTTACTGTTTTTGTTAAATATGTTACTGTTTTCATTAAGTATGTTATTGTTTTTATTAAATATGTTACTATTTTTTTATGTTTAATTGTTATTATTTTTTTTGTGTTTAAATGATATTATTTTTTGTGTTTAAATGATAATTTTTTTTTCTATTTGAATGTTATTATATATATATATATAAAGTAGAACGAAGTTTGAATCCAAAAGACAAAGAGAGATGTAGATCGTTTTGAGACAAAACATAAATACATTCGACGAACAATGTAATCCTAACATAAAAGACGGTTCAGATCATCTCAAAAATTTTGATCTAACGGTTTACAATTAGTCCTGAATTTTTTTTCCCGCCCATGAAGAAGCTTTTTATCGTAAAATTCTACACTCCTATCTCTCATACGTTTATATCTTAAATTTGAAAAAACATAATAACAACTCAGATTGAATTCATTTTAATTAAATGATCTAAATGTTATATGTTAAAAGTGTATTGTTTGTACCTTAATTTAGGTTGGTTTTGTTTAATTTCTAATTTTACGGTAAAATTTTGTATAAAATTAAAAATATTTTTATTAAACACACATAAAATACATAATATCTCTAAATTTAGTGCTTATTTTTCAAAGTTTGACAGTTTAACATTTGACTCTAATAACCGCATACACACCGTTATTACAACACAAAAATCAATACTCAAATAGACAATGTCACCATTTTTGAACATGTAAGTTATTTTATTAAAAAAATCAATTTTTTTTAAAACCTTTGGTATAATATTTCATTAAAAATCATTATATATTTACTATATAATTTTTCATCCTTCTTATTATAAACTGATTCATATCTAAAGTACACTATAAGTAGATCTTCTTATCATGCATCTTAGTACCGATAATTGATGGTTACTTCTTATCAATCAATGAAGTTTAAATTGTCTTTATAATCTATAAATAAAATCATCAAGTTATTATTCATACCAAAAATAAATCACTACTGTATGAAAACCTATAGTTCTCAGAAAATTAAAAAAAAAATTCAAAGCCTAAGTTAATCAGCAATTTTAAAAAAATAAGTGACCAATACAAAAAAAAATAAAATATCAATTACACCAATAAAAAATGTTTAAAACCAATCTAATCGCTATGTGTTGAAATTATTCAAACATCCTATCTTTGTATGTTGAAATTTTATAAATAACTAAGTGTCTTCAGGTACGGGTAATGACTAGTAGATAGATATAAGAGAAAAACATTTTTAAAGTTAGTGAAACTCCTAAAATTTAAGAGTTTTTAATTTTTAATTTTAATTAACTTCTAAAGAAAAAGGATAGTCTGGTAAAATTGATAAAAAATAGACTTCATAACAAATAAGTTTTCTTGGTAGACTTAAATCTAAATAAGTTCACATGGGACTAGCATCCAAATTTTCCTATATAATTTTTCAATACCGTCGTTGGAGTCTTCGTTTAGTGGGCCAAAATCAAACCAGTTGGATGCGTGCTTATCTAAGAGTGATGGATGATAATACATGCCTTCAAAGGATGGTCTGAACTCTGAAGGCTAAACCATTCTGTGATGTAACTGGGCTTGAAAATTTGGGTTGATGGGTTAGTCCATTACTTTTAGCGAACGTTAAAGTGGAAGGTGGATGTGAGCCCGGCCTAACTAATGAATCCACCAACCTGTAAGCCCATATATATAATTGGACGGTCAGTGTTCTTCCTTTGGTGTCTTATTTGAAGATTTTCCCGCAATCACCGAGAGCGAAATGTTTCATTTTCAAACTCCACAGAAGGAACACCTACTCGCAAATCGCCGCTCGAGTCCTCCCTCCGATTACACTAAGAAGTCTCACAAGGTACAATCTAAATGGAACTCGAAACCCTAACCCTCTCTCTCTCTCTCTCTCTGTTGTTCAATCTTGATTACATCTAACTGTGAATCTCTCATTTGATCATTCATTGATTCAGATCCGTAACAAATACTTGAATTCTGTGATTACTTCGACTTCAGAAGATGTATCGTCAGAATCACCAAAGGAGTCGAATGAATTCTCTTCGAGCTTGGAGATTTCTGACGACAATCAATTCAGCGAATCTGCAGAAGTAATTCGACTCTATTATTCTACTTGTTTTGCAGTGTTTTTATTGCTTCTGAAAGCACAATCCGAGCAATTTCTGCAATAATTTTTCATTCCTGCATTTGAGAGCAAAATGAGAACAATATTTTATTGAGAACTTCAACCTATTGTCGATGTTAACACTGTTCGACTATGCAGTGTTTTTTATTCGATGTTGCTACTGTTTTTGTTTTGGAGATAAATTTTTTGAATAGTTTACGTTTCAACTTTCAAACATCAATAGCAATTAGATGTTGTACTTTTGCTTTGATTAAATAGTACTGCTTGGTTGCAACCATGAAAGCTGTCTTTGATAGCAAAACAATAGAATATTTCATTTTTCTACTTCACATTTAAATTCAGTTCATTTATTGTCATTTAGTATTTTGGTAGTACTTTTTCTTCTTTACAAACAAAATGTCATTGTTGCCTATTTTACTTGACATCTTATGGCTGCCTATTTTTAATCAGTTAGTACTTGTACTATTCGGTTAGCATTTGTAGCATTTTTCTGGTTTATGATGCTGCATTTTGATTTTATTTCTCTTGTGGAGCTCGATGACACCACTGAATCCAGTGCTTCACCTTTATTAGGGACTGGTGCTCTGTCTGATCTTTCTCCATTGTCATCCATGGTAACTAATGACAAAGACAAAGCAGACAATATCTCAGTTTTGGTCAACCGAAAGAGTAATGCTATTGAAACTTAAAAAAAAACATAATTTATTGACATACGATGTGTCAAGTAATGAATTTCCAATGAAAAAGTTCAAGAGTTCCAGTCACAACAACACTGTTGGGTCACATCATTAGATCAACAAATTATATCAATTTTTTAGGTCCTAATAGTATTACTCCAGCCGAAATGGATTTGGCAAATCGATACTGTCCTCAAGTGCCTATTACAACTTCGACACTACTCCTAGAGATGTTAATATTATTCTCTCGGCCAATAGCTCTTATTAGACTCCAAAATATCAATGCTGTTTGAGGGACAATACCTTTTAAGTGCTTCTATTTATCCGTCTTGCTAGTGGCTCTCTTCTTTCCTAGTAGCTTCACTTCATTCCTGCACTATTAGTTTAGTAAGGCCTAAGAACTTCTTCCTTGAGCCCGTCCAGATTATAATATATTCTATCTGATAGCTAACCTGATGAGCTGTTGTTGATAAAGAATAAATATTGTAATTAATATGAGGTTGCAAATCAGATATTTCCTCCCCCGGCCTTTTTCACCGAGTTGTAAGTAGCGAGGAGGTTATTGCGTGTTCTGAAGATGGAGATAATGATGAAACTATTCAAAGAAACACAAACTCAGGTCTTGAATTCAAATGATGTGAATCACCGATCTAATAGGCTTTTAAATGTGTTAATTGAGCTTTTGATTGAGGAATTCTATAGTTTGCTTGAAGAGAGAGACTTGTTCACTGAACTAGCTTTGAAGAAAGAAAGTGTTGTGTTTCTTAGTTTCGTGCTATAGCTTTTAGCTTTATGGGTGGCTTTCCTTGGTTCAAGTGACTGAAGCTTTTTCTATGGGGCACCACCGACGAAAAAGTCTGAGTTGATTCGCACTATGCAGTAAACTGGCCATCATTCATTGTTGTATATGTTTTCATTGTGTGCTATGTTTAATGACCTTTAACATTATATTATTCAAAAGCACACAATTTAATAATGACTTTTTTCTTTTTATTTCACATGTATTATTAAATCACTCTTGAAGATCGAGACTTCCACCAAATCTGTAACTATGAACCTTTATCCCTCTTACCAAACCTAAATTCCCATGGATTGATGTAATCTGGTAGTTAAAATGGCTGTTTCATATAATCATTGTTTGTATGGTTATTCTAACCGTCTGCCGAGTTCTATTTTATTTTATTTTGTGGGCGGTGGCCAAGGGATGGGGCAGGAGGTCAACTAGGTTACCAGTGATGTTGATGAAAGATTGAAAACACTGAAACTCATGCAAAATTCTAGAATACACATCTAGAAATCAACAATTAGAGATGTAACTTATTGTGATCAGAAGCCTTAACAGTTAAATAGTTGATAGGAACATATGGCAAATCACCAAATTCTTCTAATTGACATGTACTTGAACAGTGCCTCTAAGGTGGGTGGGGTTTCCAGATGTGACAAACAAATGGCCTCTATGAAGCTTTAGCGTTAACTTGAAATTGCATGTGGATGTTGAGTCACCCGAATCATATGGGGTTAATGGATTAGAATAGAAGTAAAACAGGTCAAACTAAAAGACAGTCAAATATCATTCCAAAATTATCAAATGATGAATTATTAACTAAATCTATACACAAGTTAGGAAGCAATGCATCTTGATGAATTTCAAGTCGGTCCCTTTTGAAGTTTGAATCAAAAGTCTTGAAGAGTATAATACTGTCCAATATCCTCTGTCTTGGCAGAGTTGTTGGAAAGAGGGATGAGCAATAATCTCAGTTGATGATTGTGACCAAACAATATCTTATAAGCTCTCACCTTGGGAGTGTTTCCTAAGGCAGCAGGTAAGAATTGATTCAAGAGTTTACTATGTCACTAATGGAGATCATTGCGATGATGGGACCTGTTTTGCTAATTATTTACAGTTATTCTTGGCTTCTGAGCAATACATTTGAAAAGTGATTCTTGCAAAGCACACATTATTCACCAAAATGGAGAGAGAGAGAGAGAAAAGATCACGGTTTGGTCTAATCCAAAAAAGCTTGACATATCTGTACTTAAAAGCATGATTAAGTGTAATCCACTAGAGTGTATTAAAGGTAAAATGGGTGGCCATTACGACTTTGGTTTTGTTCTCTTCAATTATCCAATGTGTGGCTTCATTTAGCATGTCTCTCTAGACTTTTTTCCACATCAACTAATTGATTTTGCTCATAATTAAGACTCTTACCTGTGTCAAGCACACACAAAGGTGTCTAGTCTAGTCTTTCATATCATGCATGGATTGTAATGGCAGGACTTAATCTTCTGTAAACTCCATTCCCCTCCTGGTAACCTCTAAAACACTTGGTGTTTCTTGTCAAATTAAATGCTTAGAGCCTTAGAGATCAGCTACACCAACAAAGCAGAAAACTCGCTATTCTGTCTCACTTTTGGCATCCTTCCAGGCCAAAAGCTTTGGCTATTCTTCTGGTTCTAGGATCTAATTGTACACTCCATCAGTTTGGTATGTGGGCTAAATTGGCCTGGTTAATTTTTTGATACCTCATGCTAGTGTGGGGTTAAATATATTCTCTTAGGCTCATCTCAATCCCTTATGATTTGGAGTTCCCGATTTTTGTTTGCTACTGTATTTAGAAGCAAAACAATCCCTCGCAGCTCACCTGTACTAATAATTGATATGCCTATTCGGTTTGCTGCTTCCTAAATGTGCCATCCTTGGTAATCCCATACCACACACAAGTGATATTAAGCGGTTAAGTGATCTCCACTCCATTTATTCTATGCTCACTATGGCATGTTTGTCAATGTACATAGTCCAAGGATAGTAAGACTTCTAGCACAAGTCATTGATCCAGGAGGACCTAATGCAGTATCGTATTCCATTCTAGTAAGTGAAACAGATCCAAACTTTCAGTTCATTTAGGCATTGATCAACTCATTCTCTCTATGGACATTTAGGCCTAAGACAGTGTTTGATTCATACGAGCTTGACGTAGAGCATGTGCTCCTTGTAAAGCACCTTAACTGGGCTGGGTGCAAATTGTTACCCATAAAGAGAGAGGTTTCAATTTGAGTCTTTGGTTGATCAATGGTCAGGGTACACTATCAATGCAATATTCTTCAAATCCAAGGTTCGATTCGTTTCCATTTTCCGCCATCTCTTACAACTTTTGCTTGTCAGGTCACTGCTCTATTTCCTAAGGTAGTTGGTCTCCTAAGATGGCCTTGCTGGAAAACCCACCTTTTTCTGAGATACCCGAATACCATTTGGATTATTAATTTATCCTATCTTCACCAAATGAGTGAAAAATATGGATAGATCAAGTATTTTCATGGGCTGTTAGGACTGGGAAGAGCCTTCTGACTAGGCATGCCCATCGTCTCTGTAGTTACCTGTTGGAGTTTCCCAATTATTCAACAATTGGGTATCATGTAATGCTGTTTACGTATTCTACTTATATAGCTTCAGTGCAGATATTATTAAATGCACACAAAAGCATACAATTTGGCGGTTTGTTACTCTTTTTATTTCATGCATATTATAAAATCACCCTCAAAATTTGAGATTTCCACCAAACATGTGACTATGCATCTTTATCCCTCCTACCAGACATAGTATTCTGATTGATCAATGTGATCTGGTAGTTAAAATAGTTGTTTCCTATCATCGTTGTTTGTATAGTTATTCTGTCTGCCAACTTCATTGTTATTTCATCTGGTAGGCGGTGGCCGAGGGATGGGGCAGGAGGTCAAACAAGTTAGCAGGCTTCTAGATATATTTTTAGGAAGCTTTATCTTTAACTCTGAAAATGCATATGGATGTTGAGTCACCGCCAATCATCTATGGTAAATGGGTTAGAATAGAAGGAAAACAGGTCAAACTAACAATCGGTCAAATATCATTAATACTATCAAAAGATGAATGATTAATTAAACCTATACACTTGTTAGGAAGCAATGCGGCCAGATAAATTTCAAGTCGGTTCCTTTCTAATGTTTAATAAGAAGTCTTAAAGAGCATAATATTGTCCGGTAGTCTCTTGTTGGTAGAGTCGTTGGAAAGAGGGATGAGTAGTGATCCGAACCGATGATTGTGACCAAACAAAGTCTTATGTGCTCTCACTTTGGGAGTGGCTATAAGGCAGCAGGTGAAAATTTATTTGAATATTTAACAGATCACTAATGGAGATTTATGTGATGATGGGACCTGTCTAAGCTGTCTTGCTTATTAGTAATTTAATTGCTAGTTATTCTTAGCTTCTGAGCAATACCTTTGAAAATTGATTTAANGCTCCTTGTAAAGCACCTTAACTGGGCTGGGTGCAAATTGTTACCCATAAAGAGAGAGGTTTCAATTTGAGTCTTTGGTTGATCAATGGTCAGGGTACACTATCAATGCAATATTCTTCAAATCCAAGGTTCGATTCGTTTCCATTTTCCGCCATCTCTTACAACTTTTGCTTGTCAGGTCACTGCTCTATTTCCTAAGGTAGTTGGTCTCCTAAGATGGCCTTGCTGGAAAACCCACCTTTTTCTGAGATACCCGAATACCATTTGGATTATTAATTTATCCTATCTTCACCAAATGAGTGAAAAATATGGATAGATCAAGTATTTTCATGGGCTGTTAGGACTGGGAAGAGCCTTCTGACTAGGCATGCCCATCGTCTCTGTAGTTACCTGTTGGAGTTTCCCAATTATTCAACAATTGGGTATCATGTAATGCTGTTTACGTATTCTACTTATATAGCTTCAGTGCAGATATTATTAAATGCACACAAAAGCATACAATTTGGCGGTTTGTTACTCTTTTTATTTCATGCATATTATAAAATCACCCTCAAAATTTGAGATTTCCACCAAACATGTGACTATGCATCTTTATCCCTCCTACCAGACATAGTATTCTGATTGATCAATGTGATCTGGTAGTTAAAATAGTTGTTTCCTATCATCGTTGTTTGTATAGTTATTCTGTCTGCCAACTTCATTGTTATTTCATCTGGTAGGCGGTGGCCGAGGGATGGGGCAGGAGGTCAAACAAGTTAGCAGGCTTCTAGATATATTTTTAGGAAGCTTTATCTTTAACTCTGAAAATGCATATGGATGTTGAGTCACCGCCAATCATCTATGGTAAATGGGTTAGAATAGAAGGAAAACAGGTCAAACTAACAATCGGTCAAATATCATTAATACTATCAAAAGATGAATGATTAATTAAACCTATACACTTGTTAGGAAGCAATGCGGCCAGATAAATTTCAAGTCGGTTCCTTTCTAATGTTTAATAAGAAGTCTTAAAGAGCATAATATTGTCCGGTAGTCTCTTGTTGGTAGAGTCGTTGGAAAGAGGGATGAGTAGTGATCCGAACCGATGATTGTGACCAAACAAAGTCTTATGTGCTCTCACTTTGGGAGTGGCTATAAGGCAGCAGGTGAAAATTTATTTGAATATTTAACAGATCACTAATGGAGATTTATGTGATGATGGGACCTGTCTAAGCTGTCTTGCTTATTAGTAATTTAATTGCTAGTTATTCTTAGCTTCTGAGCAATACCTTTGAAAATTGATTTAATGCAAAGCACCCACAGTTCACAAAAATGGAAATGTGTGAGAGAGAGAGAGAGAGAGATGTACTTGAAAAGACCATGATTTGTTCTAATCCCAAAAAGCTTGACCTAGCTGTACTTAAAAGCATGATTTGATGTAATCCACTAAAGTGTAGTAAAGGTAAAATTGGTAATTGATATGACTGAGGTTTTCTGCTGTACAATTACTTGATGTAGTGCCTTCATCTAACATGTTTCTCTGGACTGTTTTATGCATGAACTATTGGCAGATATACGGTGATTCAGCTTATAATGACTCTCATTTGTATGTCTGCTGCAAAATGGTAATTCTATCAACACATTAGCTTGTACAGCTTTTATAATTAAGCTTGGGGAAATGAACAACTCATGGTGACCTTCATAATCTTCTTGTATCATTCATGGCTACAGTGGGCTGTTTGAGCTTAGAGATAAGAGCAAGAATACTTTCGTCTGATGATTGTCCTGGTAGAATCCTATGATATAATTTTTTTGCTGCTCGACTGTTCACTGGAGGTGGTGTTTTTAAAATAATGACGTTTTGTAGATGTTTACGATGTCGTTTTATGAATGATGGAAATTCAAGGCTAGGAACGAGATCCAACTTGAATCATTTTCAATTTACAATCCATCCGTAGACCTCTCTAGGCTTGTGCTGCTCAATCATCCCTCTCCTTTAGGTGCTCAACACTGTTTTATGGTGTCTCATGGTAGGGGGGCAAAAGTAGTGGCACATCATAATGCCCGGCAGTGTTTGTATTTTTATGTTAAGATTTCTTTAATGCAAGTCATGGATAGTTTAATGAAATACACATGGTACCATAATTTTGGTGAGAAAGTGGATTAGGTTCATGATTGCATGAAACACAAAACAGTTTACAACAACTTGTAATCATTTAAGCATTTAGACATTCTGTTATCCCCACAATTTTGGTCAGGCTGTCAACCCCCTTTCTTATTCGTTTCTATTGCTTCGAACCATTTAAATCTAGACAATCTTTTGGTGCATCTGTCCTCAACCCAGCACAAAGGTTCCCTTACCTACCCACCCCGAACGATCTCTCGGGGGACTCGATCTCTGACCCTCCCGGCCTCAATCTCAGATCATTGAGTCACAAGGGCTCGTGAGAGGCTTATGATTGTGATTAACTCGAGTAATATAGATCATAACTAGTACATCTATGTATGTTTATCTCATGGTTAAGTTGATTGAGTGAATTTATTATGAGGTGAATAGTGTTCCTTGCTGGAAATGTGGAGCATAAATATCCACACCTCAGAAAGCAGGAAAATTCCAAGTGCCCAGGACCCCCTACAGAAATAAAAACAAAGCAGAAGATAGAGGTGCCAGAGAAACAAAGCACATGCGTTTCCTTTGTTTACCATTTCTTTTGTGCAGGATCACACCTCCATTAATCATTGCACGGAATGAAACAAGACATCGTGGGGACCCTGTTACCAGTCAATCAGTGGAGGCTAACACCGCCATCCCATCCAATTAAACAGTCTCACATCATCGGTAAGTTTGTTTATCAATATTTGCCTTTTGTTCACTTTATTTCTTTGAGATTTGGAAATTTGCTAGTTTTCAAGCAAATGAAACGGTTTGGGCGGAATGCTTTTGTTTTTTCCTTGTAGATTTTAGGAACAGATGACACTTCAAAATAGGGCAGGAGGTTGAAACTCAGAACCCAGGTTGCGAGCTTGTTAAATGTTGCCTTTTTCACCAGTAGCAGCCCTTCAATTTGGTTATAAACATAGTTGTTACACCAATGTTATGGGTGGCTAGAGGTATTAAAAGAACAGTAGTACACGAAACTCCGGTTACTATGGGTCTAGAGAGCATCAAAATATATATAGTTTTATTGTGGAGATCACTATTTTTTAATACTTGAACTAGTGGTTATGGGGTCTACTATTTGTTAATACTTGAATCAAATATAGGATGATGAATCAATATCATTATAATTAGTTCAAGGGCCGAATGGATGAGTATGAAATGAACAGATTTGTCTACTCTGATTTTTAATGCTTAAATCAAGCACACTCTTAATGTTAAAATTGCAAGGGAGCCTTGTTCCCATGCATTTATGAACAAGGACTGAATTTCGGGTCTCTACCCAACAAACCCGGAGTAATACTACAGCCTATTTACAATTTGGACGAAAGCGAACATCTGACGTGGTGCTGGCTTGCCAATTGCTGAGAAGGCTACACTGCCATTTTAGCTTTTTTCAGTCAGCAACTATAGGTTAGAATTCAGGATTTTAAGGTTCAACAAGAGGGATTATAATCATTAAATCAACAGTTAAGCTCTACTGTCTTTAGAGATGAATCCGCCAATTAAGTTTCTGAATGCTTATTATTAAGAAAAAAAAAGAAACAAAATTGTATCCTTAGTACGTTTGAAAGCTGCATTTATCATGGCTAATTGCTACTACTATGATTATTTCCAAATCCTTCTAACTGCTGTATTCATAGTGTATACGGATAATTGGCTATAGGTATTTTTTTTAGAATTTATTTGGTTTTAAGTACCATATCTAAATTTATACTCTATTAAGTCTTTTTTTTTTATCAAATAGTTGTCAATAAGTACACATTTTAAAATATTTCAAATTCTTTTTGAAATGTATTTTATAATTATCCTTACCATAAATATTGTTTATCATTGTTAGTTTTAATATTTTTAAATGTAACAACTCTTAACTTGGAATATATATATATATATATATATATATATATATATATATATATATATAGTAACATTAAACAATAACATGTTCAACCAAAAAATAGTAACATCAAACAGTAATATGTTTAATTAAAAATTTAATTATTGCAATAGAGTGACACCATATGTAAGTATTTATTCTGTTGGGGGGGGGAGTTATTTTATTACAATAATTAAATTTTAAATTAAGAGTTGTTAATACTAATACAATTTTTAATTTAGGAGTTGTTAGTTTTTTCAAACAAGTTTTGATTAAATATAATTATTGAGGGTATTTTGGACAATGAAGATCAAAATAAATTTATCTCCAAACAAGTTTTTTTAGTGTATTTAAGTCCAAATAAATCTACAAAAAATGATTGGTCTCCAAAGGACCCTAGTTTATAATCACTGGAATTACAGTAAGTTGGTTAATAGGCCCAGTTGTACATGAGTCGGTAAAAAAGAAATGAATTTGATACCAACTTGTACTCTGAAAAAAGATAGAGGTGAGTGAGCTTATTTCATTCAAATAATATATTGTGGACTCTATTTTGAGAATTAATCTCTCCAAAATGGTGACAAGGTTGATCACTGTTACCGATGGGAGCCTTGTTCACTTTTTATGGATGACATATTTTGTCGAAAATCTAGTTTATTTTACTATGGACAATTGGGGAAAAAAAATATCAAAGTTGATTATTTATCACAGCCGGAAAGTAATTGATTAAAAAATATTTGAATTTCCATGAAGTTTTTGTCTATAAGTAGGCTAATACTAATAGGTTGCAATGACCAGGCTGTCTTACTTTTGTAAAAGCTAAATTATGACCATTACACCAATTCCACATCCTTAAGAGTAGACCCTAAGCTCAACATTTCTTTTTTAATCCATGCAGTGCATGAGCATTGATTCATTAAATTGTTTATTTAGGGTAACTGTCCACTAATAAATGAACAAGTAAACAAGTGAATTGTATTAAATTCAATAACTATCATCTATGTAATATATAATCCACTTTCATGAAAAAAAAATAGCAATAATTTTGTATTTTAAGACACTCTACAATATTAAAATTTGAATAGTGATTGTATAATATTTAAAATTTATTTTTCATTTTTTTTCTTTAATCACACAATTTAAAATTAAATGAACAAAAATAAAATAAAAAAGTAGGGGAGAAAGAAGAGAGATATAGGTGTGAATTGGTGAGATTATTTAGCATGGGGGGTTGTGCAATAAAAGTGATATTTTTGAATTGAAATGATTTTTGTACCAATGGATTAACGTGTATAAAATTTAAATTAATCTTGATCGTATTTTTTAAGTTGAGTATTCAATTTTTTTAGCTTTAACATTATATAGATATTTAATATGTTATCAATTTTTTAATTTTTTATTGAATAATTATATCATGCGATACTGCTATGGTATTACTGTCATATTAAATATTTATTTCTTGCTCTGTAAAGTTATGATGGCAATTTCGTGACGGAAAACGAATTTGCCAAAATTGAAACAACGGCGTTAAGATAGGGAGGCACAGCGCACCGAAGCGGGGCCTAGGTACCACATGGCCCAAAAGGAAAAGAAGCATTAATAAGTGGTGTGGGTGCAAAAACATTGATATTTAAACAACCCCAAGGCGTGCTCTCCCGTGATTCCCTTTAAAGACATTTAGCCACACCCCCACTCGTGTCCCAACTACTCCCTTCCTCTCCCCCGTCTATTTCTCTACCACCACCACCACCACCACCACCACCACCACTTCCTCCTCCTCCTCTTCTCTCTCTCTCTCAAGATTAGCAACACCACATCTTCACTGTTAATCGATAAGAAAATCAGACTGAAGTTTCTGAATATCCCTCCTTTTGCTTCGTAAGTTAAAACAATCTATTCAGATTAGATTCTTTTGGTACATACTATTTCTACGCAATCATTCGATTTATTCCAGTTATTATTCTGTGCTCAGTAATTCCTTGATTGTGATTGGAAAGTTAGCATACGAATCACAAATTTTGTTCAGTTAAGCGCCTGTATCTGATATAGTATTATCTGTTCTTCTGATTCTGTTCACGTGATTGAATCTGCAGGTTCTCTCTCTCGTCATCTCAAATCATATACATACTACATATACTCATACATACACGATTCGATCCGGCCTGATTCCTTCGATCCGTCTTGTATTCTCAAAATCGCAGCGAATCAAACGGTGTAGATGGCGTCAACGGTGATCTCAAATCCGATAACGAATTCTGACAGATTGTCGAGAAGGAAGAAGAAGAAAAGCAGCCAGATTTCAAGAGATCAAACTCAAAGCCCTAACAACACCTCCACCACAATTCAATGGAAATCCGAAGTTCAACAACAAGTTTACTCTTCCAAACTTCTCAAAGCTCTTCGCGAAGTTCGGATCACGTCCACGCCTTCGGCTCCGAGGCGCGGCCGAGCCGTCCGCGAAGCTGCAGATAGAGTTCTGGCTGCGACCGCCAAAGGACGGACCAGGTGGAGCCGCGCGATACTGACAAATCGTCTTAAGTTCAAGTTCATGAAGAATAAGAGGCAGAGAGTGACAGCCACTGGGGACAACCGGTCACCGAAGAAGCCGAGGGTGAGTATTTTGAGGTTGAAAACAAAGAACTTACCTGCGGTTCAAAGGAAGGCTCGTGTTCTTGGCCGGTTAGTTCCCGGTTGCCGGAAACAACCGTTGCCGGTGGTTCTTGAAGAAGCTACCGATTATATTGCTGCTCTGGAAATGCAAGTTAAAGCCATGTCTGCTCTAGCCGAGCTGTTTTCTGGCTCTAGTTTTGGCGCTGGCTCTAGCTTTAGCCCCGAGCCTCTAAATCAGCTTGGCTCAAGCCGACCTTCGCCTAGTTGATAATCTTATTGTGGCTTCATTTTCTTTTTTTTTTTTTTTTATCCCTATCTCTCTCCCTTTCAAGTATTTTCTTGTTTATACATTTCCTTTTTTTTTAATTTTTTAATTTTGGTTGTTGATTATTAATATCATGAAATAAGTTTATCTCATAAGGTAGAAGGGTAAGAATAACAGGGGATAAAATGGTTTAGGTGCAAAGAATCCAGTCACTTTCTTGTTCCTTTCACGTGCTTAAATTTTGTTATTTTGCTTTGGAGTCCTTAAAGCTTGTTGGATTTTGAAATTTTCCCATTTTAGTGATGCCATGGCACTGAACGTACAAGTGTATTTTTTTGTTGGTTAGATTTCACACTAGGTCATTCTTTACATTATTCATTCATTCATTCATTCGTTCGTTCGTATTGTAAACAGAGTAATTGATATTGAAATCTAAGATCGTGCCTAAGAAGTTAGGGTAATATCGATTAAAGCCAATTCTAGATTTTTTTAGTCAATTAGTCTGTCAGTTGAGATGGTGCACTAGGATCGTAATGGCTGTAATTATTGGATTTTTTATTTATTTATTAAGATGACATTATTATTATTATTATTATTATTATGTATTTAGTCTCAATGGAGTAAACATTCAAATGCTAGTTCGTATGGATCTCTGCGGTAAATGATATCTAGTCTTTACATATATTCTTTGCATATGGAGGTGGTTGCGGTATTAATGGTTTTTGGTGGTGCATAGATAGCGTGCATTTAGTAGTATCTTTGTGTGAATCCAACAGTCAGAAATGTGAGATCACTGTCGCATAGATATAGTGAGTGAATTATTACAGTGTCCTTTTTAGCAATGGGCATGTGGGGATTCTGAGAGTGAGTACAATTTCTTTTGTATTGAAAAGGTGCTACTATAAAAGAACGGTCTTTACAACTGCACGAGTGAAGAAAGAGGATGCCAGTGAACTGGGCAAGGTCAGCAGTCGATCAAATGGTCATTATTCGTACTGTTGGATTTTTTTCTTTTGTAATAATGTTTGACAAAAAAAAATAAAAATTAGTGAGTTGGAAAAAGGAATCATCAAATCCATCCCCCTAACACTAAAACCACAGCCTCAAGGCTCCCAACTCTATATCAATGTGGATATTTAGGTTTTCAATCACAGTGAAGCAATTAAAATAATCTTATTGATAAAACTTTTTTTATCGGTAAGACCATAAAAAGTCGTTGATTCAAATTTCGATGTGATGGCATAATGAATTAAAGATTATTGTACTGTGATGATCATAAGCCTGTGTTACTCGCTTTGTGCGGTCCATGAGTTATAGACTATTGCTCAACCGACTTGAGGGAACTATTACCATACCACTTGGCTAGTTGGCTAGGTCCCTATTGTCATCTCTCACTGGTTCTTCAACACTTACTACTATGTTTATATCTAAGTAAGATCATCCATGACTAATTGTTTCTTCTTGATCCTTTTCCAAGTCTAAAAAGTTAAAAAATGCAATATTAAAGTAGAGGATTTGGTTTCTAGTTCCAATTTTAACTACGATTCTTCTGTCACTTTCAGCCAAAGGTGCAAAAGGAACACGAAAAATGACATATACCTCTGCTATAATTTGTAGGTACCTATCAAATTCCTAGAAATTGAAGTGACAATACTCCGACAACCGAATTACAATTTTTTCCTGAATTACCAAATGTGGTAGGAATCTTATAAATAATTAAACAGTACATGTTTTCGGATGTATATAATATAATCTCTTTTTTTTTTTTTTTATTTGGTTCAACAATTATGAGTTTGAACTAGTTTATGCGTACTTAGACTAATCTTTTCTTTGATTCAATCAAAAACAAGTCATCCATGCCAAAACTAAAGATATTCATAAGAGATAAATTATTTTCTATCATTAAATTGATTGTAGGTTATACTATTAGGTGAAATATATTACCAATCAATGACTATAATACATTAAATTAACAAATAAATTTGTTGACACTTGAGGGTTGTCTCTGTTTACTACCATGGTCCACTTGTCATCCTCTGCAGCAGAACCATCCGATGGGCACAGGGAGTGATGTGGGATTGGTTCATCACTCACTCACTACAATCAAACTGGAATTTGTATGAATTTGCTGGAAGGTTTTGATTCGAATAGCGACAGTTGATGATTGAAGAACGGACCACAGACCATATTGCACGTATAGGGCTTCAATGTCAGCAAAGTGACACCGACACCTCCTTACCTTTTGCTTGCTGGGGTTTTCAGTTCTTTTTTCATAGTTTCTTGCTCACAACTGCAGAACACATGCACCCATGTGCCCCATTTAAGCTTTATCTTTTCCAGTTTTCAGAAAGTGAGAACCCCACATTGGGTTTTTATTTGGAATGAACTGAATCGGTTTTAAGTTGGCGAGAGTAACCACGACATTCGAATTCGCGATAGTTTAATGGTGGCGACGATGATCAATAGGCCAACCGCTAGAACCAGTAAATTCAGGTTTACTGCTATTAGGTTCAAGCATGAATTTAGATTGTGGCATCAACTGTCAATTCAAAAAGCATTGAGATGTAGTGGTCATAACATAGTAAAATAAAATCGGATAATATATAAGAAATGGTATATAACAAGAAAAAAAAAAAAAAGGTTAAACATGATGAGAGGTTCAAACCATATTGCACCGTCAAGAAATAGTATCGATTGAAATTTAATGACGATGACACGAAAGACTCAGAGTTTTAACTTGGAGATGTCTTAGATGAATTAACCGAGTCGCGTAAGACTCTTTGTTTACTCAAAAACGTGAAACGATATCAAATCACAATATATAAAGTTATATTGATATCAACCAATACTTTAAATCATAAGGTTGATTATAGACATGTAGATCTTCCAAACTTTCTTGATAATTGAGTTAATACGAAATTAATTAAATATGATATGATTTCAACTAAGTATGACGTACAAAAGTCACAAATTTAAGGAAATTTTTACATAATTATAAATAAATTTATAAATTGTGGATTTGATAAATGTTAATAGGACAAAAGATTGATATTGGATAGAAATTAGACACAATATACCTCAATCCCAGTCACACACCCAGACGTGGACAAGGGGAGATAGAGCGGAATCATGTGTGGGCCAGCGATGGCGGAAGATAGAAGAAGGAAGGGGGACAGTTTTTGGTTATCCACGACCACATCCAATGTTAGTTATTTGAGTCTCAAAATGGCTAACTATTAACAGTTTTGAAAATGGTTACTCTGGCATTGCTGTAATACGACCGTGTTAACCCAAAAGGGTAATAATTCAGGTTGTAATATTTACGAGTTATAAATTTAGATATTTTGAATTTGAATTTTGATAATTTTTTGAAATCAGGTCATAAAAAATTTATCTCTCATGAATACCTACACCAGCGTGAATGGTTAGTTTTTGATCGGGAAAAGAACTAATCGAGATTCACGTAAGCAAACTTAAAAAACTCTAGCCGTTGAAAAAAAAAATTACAATTGATTTTGGATTTGAATTTTGGTAACAATTTGAGATTAGGTCACAATTTGAGATTATGTTATAAGCGGGCCTAAACAATCCTGACCGTTGAACCACAAAACAAAAAATATGATCATGTCACCTTCTTGAACACATATAGTTAGAGTCGGGCAATGTTATTTAGATTTATTTTGTTGATTTAATAGCATATTAAGTCAACAGATTAGATCAAATTATTTAAGTTTAAATAATATTATTCGTTTATAGATATTGAACACTACATGCCAAAGCCCAATCGTAACAAGGCATTTTTCCTATATCCAATTTTTCCAGCTGGTGTGTACCAGCCTAAAACCAATTTATACAAGTTAGTTTTTTTTTTAAGTGATACTTAAATTACCTGTTTTGTTATGTACAATGATGTGTTATTTTTTGATAAATAAAAAGAGGGGTGAGAGCAAGGCAGATCGCTCAGTGACTACTCCGTTAGACCTTCACCGATGGGATCATAAGATCCTTGATCGCATCTGGAACGAGATCTAGTTAGACTAGTATAACGGTCAACCACCGAATTTTAATGAGAACTTCAAAACTCAAACTCTAAGCCTCTGGGTGAGGAATAAGACCGATACCACCGTTAAACCACCCTAGTTGATGGTATGTACAATGACGTGTTTATCTTACTTTTTATGGAGAACATAAATGAAAAATACTTGTGAGTTGTAGGGGTTGAATTCATATGAGAACTCATCTTTTACTAAAGCTTAAAAATCTAAACACTTCTATTTAGATCTTGACTTCTTCTAACCACACTGTGGTAAACCGATGGCATTTGAGTCAAGTTGAGTGGTGACTTTTTTCGTGTTTAATGTTGAGTTAATTATAGCACAATCTGTTTAGGTTCAAATTAACAAGTTCAACCCATGAATTACCAAAAATCATGACTACCACATATTTCTTTCTCAATATAATTCAACTTCCATAAACCTCCCACAGATAATTTTGTCCAATAAAAAAGCTTCTGAAAGATTAAAAAAATATAAATAATTTTAAAATTTGGGTCTAAAAGTTCAACCTACTTCACACAATTATATTTGCTGAAAGATAAAAAGAAAAATAACAAGAAAGCCCGAAATTATCAATTGTTTTTGACTTTCTCCTATCAAAAATAATATAATAAACATCAATTTTTCTCTCTCTTGTACAAATACAACATATTCTCTTTTTTACTCAAACTTGATTTTGTAGTTATTTAAATTAAAAACACAAATAAAACTATTCATTATTATAAAGGATCCAAAATAAAATTTGATTTAAAATGTTAGAATATTAATAAAAAAAATCTCATTAACATTTATTGTTTTAGACCTTACATGCTCTTAAGCCGCCCCTATGTATATATATATATATATATATATATATATATATATATATATATATATATATATATATTGTCGAACAAATAAGCACCTCT